CCACGAAGAATCATCAAAAAACTTTGAGTGTATTGTTTTCAATGTTGCTCTCGACAATCTCATTAGTAAAATGAGATCAAGATTTAAAGTAATGAAAGAGGAATGTAACAAGTTTTTCTCATTTTGGTCTTCACAGAAATCTTAAACAGACAAACAACTAGATTTAAAAGCTAAGAATCTGGCTAAACGTTACCCAGAAGACTTATGTAGAAAACTAATTTTTTAATGAAGGTTTTTTTCCGTAAGAAGAAATATTCTAGCCAGCAAAAAGCCTGTCGAACTTTTAAATGAAGTTTATGTAAAGGGGTTGCATTTAATATTTCCACGAGTGTGTGTTTCACTTAGAATCAAACATTATCTGTTTCAATATCTGAAGGTGAAAGATCTTTCAGCAAGTTAGCTATCATCAAAGGTTATCTTCGTTCCACAATGGATCAGAAGCGATATTGCTACTTAATTAATCCTTTCAATTAAATCAGATTTAGCCAATAATGTTTCTTATGAAGAAACTATTTTTGCCGCTAAGAAGGCCCGGAAGATGTGTTTAATATTAGGACTTAATTTTACATAGTTTGCTTTTAAAAACCAAAACTAATTAAATGTGATTTTTTATGAAAGTAAACAAAAAATAACTATACTAACTTATTTAGTATTTGTGATTTTAAGAAGTATAATTGGGCATCCATTAAACATTTGGACCTGGGCATCACAAGAGCTCTGGGCGGGCCTGTATATATATATATATATATATATATATATATATATATATATATATATATATATATATATATATATATATATATATATATATATATATATATATATATATATATATACTCTCCTATTAAGTAATTATAAGGTTTTGAAGATTTTGCACCATTTTTTGGTCCACCATGTTTTCATTCAAAATTTTATTGCTATTTGCTTTTTATTTAATTATATATATATATATATATATATATATATATATATATATATATATATATATATATATATATATATATATATATATATATATATATATATATAATTTAAAAAAAGCCAAAATTATTCTTTAAAAAAAAAAAATTTAAAAATCAATTTAAAAAAAGCCCACTATTCTCCTATTAAGTAATTATAAGGTTTTAAAGAATTTGCACCATTTTTTGGTCCACCATGTTTTCATTCAAAATTTTATTGTTAATTTTAGTTAAAAGTTACAGACAATTTATTGAGAATGAATAATACAGAAGGTATTTTGTTATATTACATTGTTAAAGAATGGATAATCAAATAATCGGAATGTTTTAAATCATCAAACGAACATATATTTACAAATATAAAATTAAAAATTTTATATTTGTAAATATATGTTCGTTTGATGATATATGATATATGATATATTTCTTCTCCAACTGAATCACTAAAAAATATCAAAATTTAGATCAACATTTCCAAAAGAAACAAGATGTTTTCCATTATAAAAACTTAATGCCTTTACTAAATTATGTCAATAATTATAATTATTTGCGGACACCATGTATATCTTTTATGAGGCAGTTTTGAAGAGGTAGTGAACACTTTCTCCAGATTGCTCCAAATAAACTCCAAGGCCCATTTTTTTGTTTTACAGAATTCAGATACATGATTGAACAAGATATGAAATTTTGGTGTTAAAGTAATACCATGTTCTAACATCAACTTTTTATAGCAGGCCATTTAAATTTTCGATATTAGTTTGAAATCAAGTTCGAATCCAAAGAAAGACTCAACAACTAAATTTAAATAACCTTAGGCGTTCTCCAAAACTTTAGTTTAATTGGCAGCTTATCATTAAACACTTTCCATTTTTTAAGATCTTTTCCTGAAGAATTTCTATTAAATTTTCCACCATGTTGACCAATCTTAATAATTTGCAACTGTTCATAAATCTCCTTCATATTTATTTCCAACCAAATCTGCTCCATGTTATCCATTACATGATTGACTGTTCCCTCCATTATATGAAACTCCGGTAAAACAAGTCTATCTAAAAGAAATTCAGAGGGGTTTCTATGTACTAATACAGGGCTCAACTTTTTCAAGATTTAACTTTTCAAATAATATTTTAATGTTAAAATATCTTTCTGGGATCTTTGGAGCTACTAGAAGAAAAAATGAAGCATTTACTGACAAATCTATCAATTTTTTTATTAGATCATCTTTATATGAACTCCTGCAAGCTGTTATGGGTTTTGTCTTAAGGTAATCTATGTCAAGTTTGCCATAATTTTCAAAAGTTTTATTGAGATTAACTTTATTTAAACAAAATTTGATAAAACCACTACCCGCTTTAATAACAATTTTAAACAACTGATTCTTAGAATCAAAACATTTAAGATCCAGGAGAAGTTAAACAAAAAGAGTAGCATCATTTGCAGTACGCGACTTTGAAAACATCATTTGCAGTACGCGACTGTAATATTTTTATACTCCAAAGTTTTATCTTTGTTTTTAAATTCAAATAAAATATTTTCTTCAG